TAGAGTTGGGTTGAAAATTGCACCGCGCTCGTAAGGTATTGGGGATTGAGTGAGAGAATGGGGAAGGGGCGGGTTCGTGATGGGAACGGATCAGAAAGAGACGAGGGGGCGCTGGGAAAGAGGTCAGGAGTGAGTAGAAGGACGCAACGATATCCGGGAGAACGGACCGAAGCTGGGGTAGGAAGACCAAGGKCGGGGTCGCGATCGGAGGAGGAGGGGAGAGGACAGGGAAGGGAGGGGGGGGGGGGGGGGGGGGGTAAAACAGGGACCAGATCGGAGATAGTGTATGAAAGAAGCGGGGCGGAAGTGAGGGAGGGATTATATCGCGTTCGGGAAGCAGCGGGTAATCGGAATTGAACAAAGTCAATATTTTGGAACGTTGCACCAGAGGAGGAGGGAGGGGGTAGGGGGAGGGGGAGGAGAAAGTGGGGTATTGGCGATCGGATTAGGGTGGGCGGAAGCCGGACAAGTCGAATCGGGGAAAGAAGGCTGGGACGTGGGAACCGGGTGAGGAACTGGAGAGACAATGGCGGGGGTTGGGAAGGAATCGAGGATGAGGTGGGCCGGATTGGGAGATGGTTTGCGTTCGTGGGGGAGTGGGGAGGTAGAGGATGGGATGAGACACCGGCGAGTTGGACGGAATCTGAGTGGAATTGGTAACGATGAAGGAAGACCGGGGAGGTATATGGATCAGAGAGAGGGAGGAAGGAGAAAGGTTCTGCTGGTAAAGGAGAGGAGAGAGATTTTAACAGGGAAGTCGACGAAGTTGAGCTTTGGAATGAAGTTGGGAGAGAGACGAAGTCAGGGGTTGGGAGAGAATGGAGATTGGGAAGGGCCTGGATAGGAGAGAAAGCTTGTTGGGAGAGCGCCGGAAACAGGATAAGAGGTGGTCGAGGTTAGGATGGGGGGATAGTCGAGTAGAAGAAGAATTAGATTGTGGATGGAGGAGTGAGAAGAAACGAGAACAGGGAGGAGATAATGGTACTCTCACTTGCCAGACTTTGTCTTCGAAGAAATCTCTGACTGGCCTATTTGATCGTGGACGTCTCTGACAATGGCGAGACGGGCGCCCTTGAAGCCGATTGTGTAGGTGTTTGTCGATGGACTTGCACTTGCGCCTTCTCCCGAAAGTCGGTATGGGCGCGCGCCTGGGGCACGTGCCTTACCGTCAGCTTTGGCTGGCCCAGATTCCAGATGGCGTAGTTTCCCGCGCGCGGGATTTGAAAAAAAACACTCGAGTTGTGGCGCGGGAAAAACACTTCCTTTTTGGATGAGCGCTCGCACGAGGCGCACTCTTGCGATGACGGGAGAGAGGAGATATTGGTGAAGAGGCGATCGCTGCACGGAAGACTCCGTAAGGTTAAGCGCGCGCCCGAGGCGCCCGCTCGCGATGGCTGTCTGAAACGAGCTATGGCGAACTGGCGTGTGCTTGTGCGCTACCCGAGCGGCGCGAGCGCGAGCCGCGTCAGTCCCACCGCTGCATCAGTCCCGCGACAGTCAAGCGCTCCGTGACAGTCCGGTTCCTATTCCCCCGGCAAGTCAATATAGAATACATAAAGGACTCACACACGCTCCTCCCCATTATGGTTGAGAGGTCCGAGTGGGCGACATTGATTACTTCCTCGAGGAAGGATGTACCACCTCTCACCCCTGCCTAATTTAGCCTATACTTGCTTGGCTGTCCATCTGTCTGTTCCCGGAACTGCTCCTCTCAGCTGAGTCGCTGTCAGGTATCCGTGATTATACTAGAGCATTCTGGAACATATATGCATTTATTAAACACTTTTTTGGCTCTATGACAGCATTAACATTGTTCCTGTCTTAACCTTAAAACCCTAAACCCTAGGTCTAGATGTTTCCTGATTTGTCGGTGATTGAAGTTCCCGATAGAAAATAATTCTCCTAAGTCTGTCACTGTTGTCCCTCAAGAAACCGACTGGATGCACTTTTAGCTCGAGAAAAAGCAGTCCGAATGCTTGTTTGTCGGACCACCACCTTGGAATTGTTAAGAAAACCTGTTAAGGCTGCAATTCTATTATTAGAAGGAAAAAAAAAACATAAGAATAAAGCCAGGAGTCCGAAGTTCAAAAACATGTTTTGAGCTTCTGCAAATAACACATGGAACATTGTGACCTGGGTTAGTACCAGTTGGCTGCTTTTCTGGAAGCGGCAGTTGCAGCAATATTTGTCTATGCCAGTGGATCACAATAAAGGGGCAGAGCTCAGAATCCTTGTCTATCTTGCAACCTGGATCCGACCCAGATCTGGTCTGCAAAAAAAACTGCAATTGCACCCAGCCCTAGCTGCAAAAGAAAATCCTGCCAGCTGTACCAAACTGGATGGTTGGTCTTTGTAGGTTTCCCACACCAGACCCAGCCCAGCCAGGAACCCGAAAAAAAAAAAAAACTGCACCTGACTGGATCAGCACCCACATCAATGCCATTCTGGTCACCGGAGCAACTGGCCCCCCCATAGGCCACTCATTTTTTATTTTTTTTTCAAACATCGAACGTTGCCCTTTCTCATCGGAGCAACTGGCCCCCCCATAGGCCACTCATTTTTTTATTTTTTTTTCAAACATCGAACGTTGCCCTTTCTTTGTAAAAAAGAAAGAAAGAATCATGCTACACCCATTGTCAAGTTCAGTGCATGCATCTACAATCAGCTGAAGCAGTGTGCACGGAGAGAGCAAGAGATCGTCACAGAAAGCGTTCGAATCTTAAAAGGAGGATTGTGAGCAAGACCATTCATCACTCACGAGTCTATACAGAGAGCAGGTAGGGGAGGAAGAGACAGAAGAAGAGTAGAGGAAAAAGAAAAGAGGTGAGAAGGAGGTGGGTGAGAGACACACAAAGTAAGCGCTTGTCAGTTCAACCATGATAACTTAAGGCCGTCGCCCTTTTCTTTTTTAAGAAAACAAGAAGAATCATGTTATCTCCACTTTCAAGTTCACTACGTGCATCTGTAACCGGGTGGCGACGATATGTATTCGAAATGAAGCAATGTGCATGGGGAGACCACGAGGTCCTCACAGAGTGTGATGGAATCTTGAAATGAGGATTCAGAGGATGCTATCCCACCGAATGAGCTAAGCGCTTTATCGGCTACTCTTTTTGTGAATGCCTGCCTGCATTTCAACCTCTCTTTTCTAGAGTGTATCCTGAAAGGAGTTTCCGTCTGGAAAAGAGTTTCCGACATCTCCGTGAGGTTTAGGGGTGCAGATCAGGTGGTGGCTCTTGCGACTTCATTCGATATAAAGAAGACATTTACAGGTTTATCACATGTGGGGATCGTGCATGAAGTGGAGTGGTTAATGCAGACTTGTGAAGACAGATTTTTGCGAAGTGAATGTGGCCGTGAGGGATGAAGGAACCTACCTCAGTCAAGATGGTATGATTTTCTTTACGTCTGCCCATATTCGTAAGGCAGTGCTGTTTGAGATGGACAGGTCGTACTTATGTTTACATAGCAGGCCCGCTCACCCGCCTGCTTTTCCAGCCCACCTGCCCGCCTGTCCCCCCCCGGCCCTGCCCACCCGCCTGCCCACTTGCCTGCCCACTCACCTGCCCACCCACCCTTCTGCCTACTCACCCGCCCCACCGACCGACCTACCAACCGTCTGTCCGTCCGTCTGACCGTCCATCCGACCAACTGACCGACCAACCAACCAACAAACAGACGGGCATGGAGAGAGAGAGAGAGAGAGAGAGAGAGAGAGAGAGAGAGAGAGAGAGAGAGAGAGAGAGAGAGAGAGAGAAGAAACGGGAAAGTCTACAGGTTCGCAAGTGACATGTCTTCTATGCACCTTGTATCAATCCCACTTACTCTGTTCTTAGGGGCATACAGAAGGCTGGTGGGGGGTGGGAGAATAGTCGATGATGCAGTGCTTTTGGTAGCATAGACAAGATCTGATCCCCACTCAGTGCAGAAGGTGAGATGCATTTTGGCGCAGTTTCGGCACGCCTATGGGCAAACGCTGGTGGTAGTCCGGAATGCCGACAGTGCAAAGCTCATTGGGTTCAGTGGGACACAGCTCTTCGACAGTCCAGGAATGGATATATATCCGAGTGAACCTCGGGAATGGAAATGAGCAAGTTCTGGAGGGGAGGTTCGCCCTTACTCAAAATTTTAAAGATTATGTCTCATATGTACCTATGCACACCGAAATAGCAGCGTGCTGTATCGCATTGATAGGAAGACACACAACATGTTGGGGTTATTTTTCTCCCTTCTTGCGATGCAGAAAGAGCTTGGTCGGTAATTGTCGAGATCCTCTACAATTTCTTCCTCAGGCACGTTTTCAAGACCCCACGCACCATCACATCAGGCAAAGAGGGAAACCCATATATGCAAGGCAGCAAGCACAACCGAGCAAGGCAATCAATATCCTAAGATGGAAGGGCAGGAGCCATCAATGCACCAAGGTAGTAATCATACTTTAGGCACAATGGAATTCACAAATGAAAAAATTGGCTCTCTCTCATTGAGCCACCTACACTGACATTTTTCTTCTTCTTTCTTTCTTTCTTTCTTTCTTTCTTTACGTTTTTCTTCTTCTTCTTTCTTTCTTTCTTGGTTTATGATTGGATTTGATTTGGTTTGACCATCCCTGATGGGGCTAAATTGATCTGGTCTGTTCTTATCTGATCCGATGAGCTCTGATGAGATTGCAATCACTGTGTTTTGACTTGAGGGGGGTGTTGGACTGCAGGATGATCGATTTCCTTTCCTGCTGAGGAGCACTGGTTCCACCACGTGGAAGGGACAGCGAGGAAACTTGCCCTCAGGGATTAGGGGCTTGGTAGGGCACCCACCCTTGGGTCTTGATGAGCAGTTTAATCCCCTCGCATGATGGCAATCAATGCTACTCATCATCAGCAGATGATCATAATTGGCTTCCGTTTTGAAACTGGGACGCTGGACCCGGTTTCCAGCTGGTGCAGCTCCAAAAAAGACGAAAAAACAAAACAAAAGGATCCCTTTTCTGAGGAGTCACTTACAGAGGCCATTTTCTGCGGGCAGGTGGGCCAACTTTGCATAAGCAATGTCCTGCATAAGCCAACGGGAGACAAATCCACATAACAGTGCCATACACAGACCAGTCATTGATTACTATCTGTTCATCCGTGTAATGAACCCAAACTCATGGGAAGTCTACAATATCAAAAGCATGCATGTGCTATGTAGTCTCACTCACACAAAAAAGCCTCAGAGCACAGTCAAGTACCCGGAAAACTAGACAAAGGTAGGGAAGAGGTGGAGAGGAGGACAGAAGCTTCAAGAGCAAACAATGAGTGCAATTATTGTCCGATTCATCCAATCCCGTTCTACTTCAGGACTGCTCCCACTCAACTCGCCGCCTCGGCAATCTGTCCCTCTACCGTTGTGAAGCTCAGATACGGAAGCTAGCGCGCATCGTCACCAACCTTCAGAAGGAAGCTGCTGTCTAATTAACACCAGCAGCAACAGGTGAGTGAGGTAAGGCTCTCACGTCCGAAAGAGGCACACACTGGCCACAAGCAAATCTGGGCCACACAGATCGGGAAGTCTGAGCCTTTCAAGGAGGCAAACTGGAGCCAGGCCAGGCCGAGTCAACACTATAAAAGAGAGGTCTGCACCGGCTCTTGAATTCAGTCGGCCTTGTGCTGCTTGGAGGCTCGAGCACTGTTGCTCAAGTGCCAGCGCTGGAAGAAGGCAGACAGAGAGGGTGAGAAGTTGCCATAGCTAGAGTGAGAGAGATTGGCAGCCATATCCTGTAGAAGGTGCTGATGTTATGTGCTCAATTGATTCACAATCCAAAACCGCATTCAAATGTTCCCATACACATCGGAAATGACAGGCAGACTGGAGAGAGCAGATTCACACCATCTGTAACATCAGCATAGCAGAGAGATTTCCCTCATAATCCCGCTCCCTGCTGTCCGTCTTCATAAGGTGTCAGCGCAGACAAGCACCATGATGAGATCAGCTCATTGTCAGAGCGTGTCAAAGAGGACCTTGTGGCGAGAGCCACGTCAGCATAGTCAAGTATCTAGCTGGCGACGAAGGCAGAGAATGGCGCCATCATACACCAATAGCAGTCCTGCGTTGTCGCATCAGCGTCCAGCCAGCGTAGTGCCAGCGTCAAGCTAGTGTCCAGCCAGCTTAGTGCCAGCATCGAGCTAGCGTCAAGCCAGAGTCAAGCAGCATGTGCAAGACTGAATATCGGTCAGCAGGCGCTGGGTCAACTTAAAGTGTTGACTCCGGTTGACCAGCCTCTGGTCTCTCAGATACGATGGCCCAGATTGTCTCGCAGCCGATGGCCTGGATTCAGTAGAACTTTACAAAAATCCAAAGAAGAAGCCCCTGCTAACTCCGTGCCAGCAGCCGCGGTAAGACGAGGGGGGCAAGTGTTATTCGGAATGGCTAGGCGTAAAGGCCACGTAGGCGGCGAATTAGGCGCGAAGCGGTGAAAGTCGCGGTTCACTGGAGTAAGATAGAGGAAAGTGGAATTTCTAGTGTAGAGATAAAATTCATAGATATTAGAAGGAACACCAAAAGCGAAGGCAGCTTTCTGGGTCTCTACTGACGCTGAGGTGCGAAAGCATGGGAAGCAAACAGGAATAGATAGATCTGGCCGGGCTCTAAGAAAACACGGCCAAAGGTGTCCCCTCTAATCGTAAGATTAGAGTGTGCATCCAGCTATATCGGGAAAACATTCATTGGATTCCTTACACATACCTGCGAACAGCCAAAGGTGTGTGTCTGATCGGCGGCCTGGACTGGGTCCATGTTGACTTTGAATCGTGGGCGTGAATTTCCAAACTTCTGTTGACCTTTGACTTTCCACGGTCAACTGCCGCACGTTGGGCCTCTGAACGCCAGTTCAGGCCTTGCTTCGGGTACCCCACAGTAGTAGGCCTTCGTTCAGGCATTTTACATGACTTAGGCATGGCCTTTGACCCCTATTTGGGCCCTTTGACCAAAATGACGACCCACCGCCCATGACCGATGCATGATTTGAGCTGAGTTATTGCACCTGTGTCTATGTTAAAACAAAAAAAAAACAATTTGAGTCCTTCACTTATGTCTTCTTGGCTTGGACCAGATACACACCTGAGGGACAGCAAGACTAGCAATGGTAAGACCAGCAATGATATCATCTCGAAACAACTTCCAGGAATACTGCTGAATCCACTCCACGATCGGGAATATGCTATAGATGAGAAGTTTGATCTGCTCTCTCCGCCGCTTGCCCCTGAAGTCCTTGAAAGGATCACGCACAGCTGTCACTGGCAGTATAGACATAGCATCATCCAGAATTGCACGCTTTGGAGGAATCGTCACCTTGCATTCTGGACTGTCCTCCCTAGCTCCATAGTCTCCCGCCATTGGCACTGCTTGGTGTGAATATAAATCCTACTGTCTATTTGCTCTTGTATCGGAAGGCGTTGAAAACGCTCTTTAACGATGTGGCATGTGTGCACCCTTGCCGCACCTGCAAGAAAAGAAAAAAACATGCAAAAGCACATCAGCACTGTAAATTCGCAACTTGATCAACACTCATGGATTTTCCATCAGAGTCCTGGTCCAAGCTTCACTTGTTATCCACTAACACCCCTCCTAGAACCAGAAATCTCTTTGACAAGGAGAGCCCCCCTTCACTCCATTCCTTCTGCACTTATGAGACACATCTCTCGGAAGTGGAGAGGGAATGGATTCGAGTGGGACTCTCTTTGTCAAAGAGATTTCTGTTCTGCGATATTGGCTGGATAAAGATTCTAAGAGGGGTGTTAGTGGGTAGCAAGTGAAGCTGGGACAAGGAAGAGGGAAGGGATTGGGAGGTGGCTGCTTGGATTGTGGTTATGGGTAGGAGATGCCCTGCGTTGTAGGGGGCAAAGGTGACAGAGAGGGGAAGAGTGCGGGGAGAGAGGGGGAGAGAGTGGGAGAGGAGGAGGAGCGGGGTAGGGCCGGGCGGATATCTTGGGGATGAGCGGTGGGTTGGGTGAGATCAGTGTATGGGATGAGTATAAAGTTAGTGGGAAGGAAACAGATTAAGTAGTGGTGTCGGTCTTCTCTTCCACTGTTTTTCTGTCATGTGCCACAGTTTCCAAATCAGGTTGTTTGCAGAGTCGAGTTCACAAATTTTCTTGCCCAGGACTACCCAGGTGTTCTGAAAGTCAGTTATCACCTCTGTGATGGTTGGTGGGTCTGTGTGTGGTCTCAAGTCTTGTTTCATTTTTTGCCATAATTCCTGTGTTCTGGTCGTAACCGGATCCAAAATTGCTGCTTTTGTCCTGTAACAGTGCATGTCTGCCAAACAAGGAACCCAAGCTCGTTTGTGGCAGAGCGTGTTCAGGGCCTACAAGTCCGTTCCCTAAAGAAAAGATGGAAAACAGGTATCTCATGGTCATAATCGGATCCAAAATTGCTGCTTTTGTCCTGTAACAGTGCATGTCTGCCAAACAAGGAACCCAAGCTCGTTTGCGGCAGAGCGTGTTCAGGGCCTACAAGTCCGTTCCCTAAAGAAAAGATGGAAAACAGGTATCTCACGTTTCGAAAGTGCCTACAAAGTATGCAGGCTGTAGAGCCTCACAAACTTTTACCGCCACTAGTTCGGTAGATGCTACGTTTTATTTTTCCCCGGTTGACACGTAAAAACTTGAAAGATAGCAACCCATTGAAGTAATGTTTATTAAATTTTATTTATTATTATTTCTGTTATTCTAAAAGATATCCTGGTGTATGTCCACCATCCACAGATGCCCCTGGGCAGCACGGGGATCACCATTGAGAGGGCTCCAGATTTATTCACCGGGAGCAGTACGTGCTGAGAACCACAAATCACATGAAATCATCCACCCAAATCTGAAAAAAATCCCCATCGCTTTCCACGTCATCGAAATCAACTCTCAGACAAATGGGCTGCTTGCTTGTAATATGATATTGTGCGGCCGCGCAGGAATCCAACATCACCACTAGCAGCGATGTAGAATCTGGTCCTATTGTATGCATAAATACAACTCACATGAAATTGCCTGCAAGTTCGCGTCAACCTCTCAAATGATTCTTAAAAAGGAATGGGGGGCTGATCAGCGACCCCGGAATGAAAATAAAGAGGGGTTGGGGATCACTGACCCTGAAGTTGAAATAAAGGGGGGTTGGGGATCACCGGCCCTGAAATGAAAATACAAGCACTGCTGCGCAAACCATTTGTGGCACACACCATGGATGGCACATGTCTGACGCACACAGTGGAGCACAAGGGCTCTAAGATACAAACTGAGAGGGGAGGGGGGTTGGTTGTACCCTTTTCCCGTCTCCCAGAAAATTATTGAAGTCCATTGGAAAGCAAAACAAAGTATTGGGGCCCTTTTTTTTTTCTTTTTTTTTTTAAATCGCCCTCTCTAGTGCTAGCGGTGCTCATAAGAGCAGACACTGCTAGCATCTAGGGAGAGGCTCCATCTACTGGTGGGGAGCAACACCTACTGGTAAACGGGTCCAGCGTCCCATATACAGATATGAAATCAGGTCAAGAGTCTTCGAGAGAAACCTGCCAGCATTGATTACTCTGGAATCCAGAGGATTGACTGAGCAGATTTCTAGAAAAACGGAAAGAACCTCTTAACTTTGTGTCAGGCGCTGGGTATCTGCTACTACAATCTAGTCCCTCCCTTCTCCCTCTTGATTGCGCGTATATCTAAAGCACACTAGAAATCCTAGCTTCCCCTTTCATTCTCTCGATGTTTTTCTTATTGCTCCCCCCCAAAGCCGAACCATTGCAAACTTACTAAGGCTAGTTCTGAGGGAGGAAAGGGGTCAGCAAAGAATTCTGGCGATCTGAGAGTTGCCCCTGGTTGAAGTGAGAACCAGTTCCTGAAGGTTAGTTCGAAGTCCTTTTTCAAGGGCTCTTCCTCTCTTGCCTCCCCTGGCCATATCACTTCCCCCAGACATCCCACATCAGATCCCCCCAGCCAGTCTGAATTGAATTTCTGAATTGCTTGTGTAATGTCCTTTTTTTGGTGAAAATTGCATAATTTTACCTTAACATACGACCATTGAGCTCTAATTTCAGTTTGAAAAAATTGAACCACAAGTATTGGGGCCCTTCTCAATGCAGCCCATTGGATCCTCTACTGAAACACTTTAGGCACTCTCACAGAAAGAACTTTCAAATGCATACAACCGCAATTGTGGGTGGATACAGGCCTGAATGGTTACAATGGTCACAAGCTTCGGAGGAGCAGTGTGTGTGCTGTCATGTTGCGTGAGTGTGTCGTCATGAGTGTGTATGTGTGTCTTGTCATATTCGCTATACACAACTCCACAAAGAAAACCATGACTGTGCCAGACTGTTTCATCAGACTTTCCCCGACTCATCAGGAGGTTGAA